GTTGATTTTATGATGGTAGCTTTGTAGTATAACTTCAGGTCAGGGATTGTGATTCCACCTGACTTATCTTTGTTGTCCAGGATTGCTTTTGCTATTCTGGGTCTCTTCTGGTTCCAGATGAATTTAAGGCATGTTTTCTTGAGATCTGTGAGGTATGCTAATGGTAGTTGAATGGGAATTGCATTGAATCTGTACAGTAGTTTTGGGAGTATGGCCACTTGCACAATGTTGGTTCTTTCTATCCATGAGCAAGGAATATTTTCCATTTGCTGAAATCCTTTTTGATCTCTTTTTTCAGAGTACTGTAGTCTTCATTAAATAGATCTTTGACTTCTTTTGTTAGATTAACTCCTAAGTATTTGAATTTCTTGGATGCTATTGTGAAAGGTATGGTTTCCTTAATTTCTCTCTCAGTCTGTTTGTTGTTTGTGTATAGGAATGCTATCCATTTTTGGGTGTTGACATTGTATCCAGGTATACTGCTGAATTTGTTGATTAATTCAAGGAATCTTCTTGTGGAGTTTTTGGGGTTTTCCATGTAAAGTATCATGTCCTCTGCAAATAGTGATAGTTTTACTTCTTCTGTTCCTATCCTTATTCCTTTTATTTCTCTCTCTTGTCTAATTGCTCTGGCTAGTGGTTCCAGAACTATATTGAGCGGGAGTGGTGACAGTGGACATCCTTGTCTTGTTCCAGATTTTAAAGTAAAAGCTTTCAGTTTTTGGCCATTGAGAATGATGTTAGCTGTTGGATTGTCATAGATGGCTTTGATCAGGTTAAGGTAAAGGCCATCTATTCCTATTTTCTGTAGGGTTTTTATGATGTATGCATGTTGGACCTTGTTGAAAACTTTTTCTACAGCTATTGAGATGATCATGTGGTTTTTGTCTTTGGCTCCACTGATATGGCATATAACATTTATAGATTTGTGAATATTGAACCAACCCTGCATTCCTGGAATGCATCTGACTTGGTTGTGATGAATGATTTTCTTGATAATTTGCTGCATTCTATTTGCTAGTATCTTATTGAGTACCTTTGCATCTATACTCATTAGGGAGATTGGCCTGTAGTTGTCTTTCTTGGTTTGGTCTTTCTCTGGTTTTGGTATCAGTATGTTGTTTGCCTCCAGAAGTGAGTTTGGGAAAATGGCTTCATTTGCAATTTCATTGAAGAGTTTGAGGAGGGTTGGTATTAAATCTTCTCTGAATTTCTTGTAAAATTCTGCTGTGAATCCATCAGGGCCTGGCCTTTTCTTTGTCAGTAGGTTTTTAATTACATTTTCAAACCATTAATTGATATTGCATTGTTCAAGAATTTGATATCTTCTTTACTTAACCTTGGCAATTTGTACATGTCTAGGAGTCTGCCCATTTTTTCTGAGTTTTCTATCCTATGGGAGTAAAGATTTTCAAAGTAGGTATTAATGATTTTCTGAATTTCTGTGGAATCTGTAGTAATTTCATCCTTTTCATTCCTTATTGCATGAGTCTGAGTTCTTTCCTTTCATTTTCTTGATAAGGTTGGCTAGGGGTTTATCAATTTTGTTTATTCTTTCAAAGAACCAACTCTTTGATTCATTTATTTTTTGGAGAGTTTTCTTTGTCTCAATTGCATTAATTTCTGCCCTAATCTTTATAATCTCCTCCCTTCTTTGGGCTTTGGGCCTGACTTGCTCTTCTTCTTCTAAAAGTTTAAGATGCAGCATTAGGCTCCTGATTTGTTCTCTTTCTGTTTTCCTTATGTGTGAATTCACTGCTATAAATTTCCCTCTGAGGACTGCTTTCATTGCATCCCATAGATTCTGGTAAGTTGTATTTACATTTTCATTTGTTTGTAGGTATTTTTAAATTTCCTCTTGAATTTCTTCTGTGACCCACTGGTTGTTTAGGAGGTTGTTGTTTAATTTCCAACTGTTTATGTAGTTTTTGGGGTTCCTTTTATCATTAATTTCCAATTTCATTGCACTGTGGTCAGATAACATGCACGGGATAATTTCAATTCTTTTGCATTTCAGAAGGTATGCTCTATGGGCTAAAATGTGGTCTATTTTAGAGAAAGACCCATGTGCTGCTGAGAAAAATGTGTATTCTGATGTTGTGGGGTGGAACACTCTGTATACATCTACTAAGTGCATTTGTTCACAGCTTGGTTCAGATCTGTTGTTTCCTTGTTGATTTTATGTCCACTTGACCTATCTCTTTGTGTCAATGGGTTGTTGAGGTCCCCTGTTATAATAGTGTTATTAATTATATAGGTTTTCATGCCTGTTAAGATTTGTCATATATAATTTGGAGCTCCAACATTGTAATATTTTAAAATTTTGAGACACAGTCTAAGTTGCCCAAG